GGTATTGAGGCAATTATAAAAGATAAAATAGATACTATTGATCACAGGAAAAGTTTCTGCTCAAACAGAATTAATGCACCTGGTATAAGAAATAGTTGTATGGGAAAAAATTCTTTGTATCAAATTTCTCTGATTAAGGGGTAGGTATCCAATGTATAAACAATTAACACCCACATATATACATACATATGCACATACCTGCATATATATGTGTGTGAGAGAGTAATATCCATTCCACAAAAGACAAGAGTTCTCAAAAAAGAATTGCAAACTGCTAACAAGCAAGTATTCCCCAAATCACTAAAACCAAGAGACATGCAGATAAAAACAACCACACGCACACGGCCAGATTGGCAAACAGCCAAAACCCACAAAGCCTTGGCCTTGAGTGTGCTGGGGAGAAATTGAAAAGCTTTTCTGCAAACAAAATTAATGCACCTAGGATAAGTATGAAAATGGTTGAATAGGGGAAAAAAATCTTTGTATCAAACTTCTCTCATACATAGACAACTAACAGATATAAATAAGACTGAAAGCTATTTATACATGTCCTTTAACCACTTATCTATTGGGAAGTAGCTTTTGATCTTATCTGTATCTGTTAGTTGTTTATATGTCTTAGATACCAAACTCTTACCAGATAAATCTGACAAAAATATTTTTCCCCCATTAACCACTTCCCTTCTTATCCTAGGGTTTGGGTTATTCATAAACACACATAAAAAGATTTTCCTCATTGGTTAATTCATTAATTCAGGCAATGCTCTGGTTCCATCCAGGGAATCTGGTGAAGGCTTCCTTGGCTCGTTCAGGACCACATGGATCCTGGCACATGGCCAGCCTCCCAGTACCTATTGCAATCTGCAGAAGGCCAGACTAGCACACAGCCCATCAAGCCAGTCCATTACCCTATGTATTTGAGAGATGAACAAATGGGTTAGATCCGAACTTGAGAAGGAAATACAGTCTAGATAAATTCCATCTGGGAAACTGTCCAGCACTTTCACTGAAATATTAATAATTCAGGCATCTTAATCAGACAACAAACCATCCTCTCCTACAAAAAATATTTTGGGGATTTTTTTTAAAGCTTCAATGTGCTTGGAGATCTTATCTGCATTGAGAGAATGATAAGCTTTACAAATATATTGATACACTGAAATTTATAGAAATTGCCAAACAGAAATACAATATTGCAACCCTGTGCCCCTATGCTATGTATCACAAAAGGTTAGGAATTTATCCAAGAGATGTAGATAAACACGCTTCAATAGTCTAAAAAAGTCACCTGACTTAAACTCCACTGAAAACCTATGGTGCATAATTATGGCTAGATTTGGAAAAATGAACTATTCATCAAAAATCTATTTCATATCCAAACAAGAAGTGTCATTTCATAATGAACATTTAAAGGATGTCAAAACCTTTTGAATTCAATGCCAAATCATGTAAAAATTTGTGATTGAACCAAAAAGATGACATCCTGTATATTAAAAGTTTTTCTAAAGGTATAAAAAATTGAAAGATGCATTATATGTCAATTTGATTTATCTGAGTTAATTTGTGTACCACAGTAATCTGGAATTCTTCCTCTGCTACTTAACCCCCTGTGTGACCTTGAGGAAGTCAACTAACCTCCTGGTGACTCAGTCTCCTCATTTATATTTCAGCATTTAGCATAGTACTTGGCACACAGCAGATGCTTAATAAGTGCTCATTAACTTGTTCAATTATTAAATAACCCTGTTGGACTAGATGGTCTCTAAGGTACCTTCTAAGTGATGTTGACCTAAATGTCCAGTGAATTAAATTGGATTTGGAATCAATTAACTCTAATAACTGATACAGTAAGGTTTGCAAAATACTTTACATGTGTTACCTCAACATACTGTAGTGAAAAGAACACTGGACCTGGGGCAGAGAAAACCTGGGTTCAAATCCCGCTTTAGACAATTCAATGAATATTTAAAATAATAGCACTTAGAAAGTGTTACTTTCCTTCTCTGTGCCTCAGTTTCCTCATCTGTAAAATGAGGGGGTTTAACTGAACCATCTCTTGTGGTTTTTTGGTCATTTGACTTAATGATCATTAAAGCCTTTAGGCTTTAAAAATCCGTGACCCCATAACAGACTACTGGGCATGGGGGAGGGAAACCCTGGGTTCGAATTCTATCTCAGACACACTTATTTAACTGTTTTAGCCTTTCTTTGGGTCTCAAGCCCTTAGCTCTGAGTGTCAGTCACATAGTAATCCCTTTGATGCTGGCAGACTGACACTTGGTGACTCAGTTTCCTCTTCTGCAAAAGGAAGGTGGAAGCAAGAGTCCAGAGGCAGGAAAGGGCGTGAGCTGCCCAAGGACACTGAGGAAAACCAAGTTGGCAGGAGCAGGTGGTGTGGCATGGGGAGGAAGTTCAGATCCCTTTGTTGGGGCCACATGCACGCAGCCTGGCTTCTTAAGCCCTTCCTAACCTGGCCACTTGCTGCTTTTTCAGTCTAGTAACCCAAGAGCACTGTTTTTTTGGCTGACACGGCATTTTCTTGGCTGGAATGCTCTGTTTCCTGGCATGCTTCCGGGGAAGAATCTTCCACCAATTCCTCTTAATGCAGATTACCCAGCATTTAGACTCTCTATATGGTTTTCTGTGCAAATAGTTCTTGGAGGGTTGTCTCTCCTTGAGAGCAGGAGCTATTTTTTTGCCTTGCTTTGCACCCCAGCACGTGGCACAATGTCTGGTATGCAGTAGGCACTCAATAATTGCTCCTTGATCCTCCCAGAGGTCATCTTGCCTTCCCTTGAAAACCTCTCTCCAACTGATGGGTGAGCCCAAGAGTCAGTTCCTTCTGCTTTTGGATAAATCTAATTATGAAGAAATATTTCCTTACCTAGAGTTTAAATCCACCTCACTGAAACTTACAGCCCCTTACTGCTAGCTCTCTCCTCTAGGACAAGTCTATGCCCTCTCTCCTACAACAGCCCTCCAAGGACTTGAAGACAGATATCAATGACTCTGTCGCCAGCCTTCTCTTATCCGGGCAATGCATGGTCGGTTCCTTCAAACCATCCTCATTTGGCCTGGACTAGTGCCGAGGCCCTTCCGCTGTCCGGTGATTTCCATTCCTGCCCAAGCCAATGCCCCTTCCCTCATACCATGCCCCTGCCTCATTCTCAGAAGGTGGCAGCCCACCACTGGCCCTCCCCCCGTTCTGACGTGATCATTCCTTCTTGTTTGTGGAGCTGACGTGGCCAGAGGAAGCCAGGCAAGGCTGAATAGCATACAGCAGTGCCCTCCCCCTCCACATAGTTGGCAGAGTGAACATCTCTGTGGGTACGGGAAACCTCCGTGCCTCTGGTGTTAGTGAACCGGTTTGCTCTCTCAGGGTTCTCGACACGGTCTTCGAACTCTTTTGGAAAACAGGAAGCGAGCTCCAGGTGCCCCACGTGTCCCACACCTTCCTATTTCTTCGGGGCCAAGTGGGTGAAAGGCTGAGCTGGTGTCTGGACAAAGGCTCTCAATTCAGAACTGCTCAGAGAACGCACACCGGGGCTCTGCTCCTCCCCTGCTACAGACAAAGAGGGGGCTAGCCTCCTTCTACCACAGCCTTCAATGCTGTCCCCTCCTATCCGCTCCATGTATGCCCTGGGGGGTCTAAGTACTGATTTCCTGGGATGCAGGAACTCAGATGAGAAAAGATGGCACTTTCTCTCCATCTAATTGGTTTAGCCTTTAAAAACACTCTGGAAAGGGAATCATAGGCTTCTCCAGAGTGCCCCAAGGGTACCAGGACACCAAAAAGGCTGAGAATCCTGATCTAGAGGCTCAGCGATTGTGAAAACAGCCCTGGATTTAAAGTCGGGAAGATCTGGGTTCAAATGCTGCCCCAGACATTCACTAGGAAGTCACCTTAACCTGTTGGTACTCTCTGTTGGCGTAACCCATAGATTCAGAGCTGGAAGGGAGCTCAGAAGGGATCAAAGCTAACCCATTTTACAGATGAAGAAACTAAGGCTTAGAGGGGAGAAAACCTTTCCCTGAGCCACCCAGAGGCAGAACCAGGATTCCAACGTGGACTCTTGGCTCCAGAGGCAACGACAGCCTCTTTGATCACAAAGTGCAAAGCAAACGCTGGTCGGCAGGGCCCTTTGGAGTTACTGTATGAAAGTTTTATATGTATGTATGTATGTGTGTGTGTATATATATATATATATACACACACACACACACACACACACACACATACACACACACATACACGCACATACACACAATCTTTAATATCACCCCTGGCACCTTCCCCCTGCCAGCACACCCTCAGGTGTCCCTTGTCTTCAACCAAAGGAAAGGACTTAAGTCTCTGCTCAGCCAGGAAACGGAAAGTCCCAGCTCTCCTCTCCTTCTCCCAGCCTCACTCTAAAGGGCTGAGTTAAATGACCTCCCCGCTCCCTACCACCCCTCTACCCCTCTCTTGTTGGCACCCTAAGCCTGCCCAGTCTCCAGAGGCGGCTTTCCACCACCTGCCCAGAGATTAGTATTCCCCCATTAGGAGGAATAAATCTAAAGCCCACTGTGAAGGTGGGCCCAGTAAGATTAGGTTCCCAGGTATGGAGTGGGGGAGGGTTTTAGGAGACTCTCAGCCCAAGAGGAGCCCGCAGCGTGGGGTGGGGTCCAGGAAAGCTGACGGAATCCTGGGCTGCTTCCAGGAATAAGGAGATGGTAGCCAGGCTCCACTCTGCCCCAGACAGCCCTCATCGGGACAATAGGATAATCCAGAGGGCCAGCGTGTGGAAGAGGGATGGGCAAGGGCCTCGAATTCACATCATGGGTGACCAGAGCATGAAGGAAGTGGGACTGCCTACAGAGAGAAGAGAAAACTTGGGCGGGGGGGGGGAGCGGTGCTCCAGGTGGATCCAGGCATTTGAAGAGCTGACATGCTGAAGAAACATTCGACTTGTGATATCCAGTACACAGTAGGTGCTTAATAAATGCTTGTTGATTGTTAACTGACCTGCAAAATCAGGAGCGGCAAAGAGGCAAATCTAGACTTCCTAAGTCAGGGGGAAAGCTTTCCAACAAGGAGGAGGGTGGGGGGCCTGGGGAAGGGGGGGGTCCCCCTGCCCCGCTTTAAGCAGGGGCTGGACAATGGCTTCTGGGTATGTTATGGGGAGTCTTTTCAGGGATGGGCTGGACTAGAGGACCACCGAGCCTCCTCCCTTTCAGCTCCCAAATTCTGTGACATCCCAGTCACCAAATCTCTCTTCAGGACGCATTCTGCTTGGCCTTTCCTGAAAACAAGGATTCAGAGAGAGGAAAGAATGCTCCGGGAGTGGGAGAAGTGGATGGGCCCTTCGGAGTTCCGGGGCCACAGGGTCGCTCCTGCCTCCTCACTTTGAAGGCCCAGAATAAGGAATGGACTCCCCACAGACACAGGTAGCGAACAAGGTGGCTTTTGAATCCAGCCCTTCCATTTCGAATTCAGTGCACTCTCTCTGGCATCCCAGCTGCCTCTGTCAATGAGAGGATGGGATATGGTCAATCACACGACATGGGGTAAGCATGAAGACCCTCGGATGGCCTGGCTGGGCTCCAGGTTACAGGGAAGGCAATTGTACAAAGCAGAGCCCCTGAAACACCCCCTCTTCTCTCGTCTCCTATTAAACCCCTGATGTGGCTGAGGAGCCTCCTTGGGGCACCCTGGAAAGAAGATTTGGGCCTAAGGTCCTCTCTGCTGGCCTAGGAACTCAAGCTATGCACACTGGGCACTCATACAATGTCAGAAATTTAGAACAAGGGGAATCCTTAGAACAGGGAATGTCAGAGCTGGAAGGGCCCTTAGACAGGGAATGAATGAGCTGGGAAGGCACCTTAGAACAGGGAATGTCAGAAATTTAAGAGGACTGAGAGCAAAGAAGCTAGCACACGCCTACTAGGTCCAGCCCCCTCACTTTACAGAGGCAACTTGAGAGTCAAGCCCAGGCCTTCTGAGCCTCAGGCCAGCACTCTGACCCTGTAATATACTACCTTCAGTTGTCTCAACAGCCAGGGAATGGGCTGGTCTTTCTTGGGCTTTCCCAGCCTGAGTTTTCAGACTTCCTTGGACATCTCAAAGGTGTCTGGAAGGTAGAGTGGTCTTTGGAATCGGCATTAAACAGGGTGGGCCAGTTTTACTGCACCTCCTGAGCTCTCTCCCTCTCTCTTTTTAAGATCTGCTCCTCAGAAGGTGTAGACAACTCTCAAAAGCAGACAATTTGAGCCCTGCTTGTCCCCACACCCGGAGTGAAGAAAAGCTCCCCCTGACCCCCAGCTCTCGGTTCCCATGCTGTCCTCCTCCACAGTGGCCTGGCTCTGGACAGGAACTCACAGAGGGCAGCTGAACTTCCCGGCTCTGGGAGTCTCATCACCACCCCACCACATCCTCCCCTCCCCCTCCACCCCCGCAGGTTGTGGCAAGAGTAGGAAGCGAGGCACACAGTCGGGGGAAGGGCAAGGAGGAGGGGCAGTAGAATGGGCCCAGTTTGACATTTCTCTGTTAACGCTTGGTTTGCATATTGCCCAACGTTGGAAAACTCGGGTAGGGAGGATCATGCCAGGTCGCTGCCCTCAAGTAAACTCTTCATTTAAAAGGGGCTAGCCTCAGACAGACTTCTGTTATCATCATCAAAGCTTCCCCGCTCCGGGAGCCGGTAGACTGCGCTGGCCAGATAGAGAGAGTGCTGGACGGTTTGCTGGAGGAGACAGCCGGGCACACGGTGGAAAGAACATGGCCTTGCCTCAGAGCGTGGGGGGCCCAGGTCTGAGTCTCTGCTCCCCGACCTGTAAAGTAAGGGGATTTGAATGAATCAGCCCGAGGCCTGTGGACGGATTTCAGAGGGGAAATCCTCATTTTCACTCACTTTCATTTTCCTTTGTATTTCTAACTATTGTTTCATTTTATGCACTTAAAAGCCTTGTTTCTTGAAAGGATGGACCAGATTTCTCCTCACCTGATGGCTCAGGGAGTCCACAACTCAGACCGGTGGTCTCTAAGGCCCTTCCAGGTCTTAACAGTCTATGAGCTTCAGCAGGAAGAGGAAATAGGGACTGAGGCAGATGTGTGTTGTCTTCAGCTGACGTGACATGACATCCTAGGAGACTTGGGAGGACAGAGGACAGAGAGTAGGACAGGGTTACAGGAAGTCCGAGGTTTGAAAGAAAAGAAGAATGGAGTTGAAAGGTGGAGGCCACTCCTGGAGGTCTCCGACAGCTGTAATCAGAAGTTTAATTCTGGGGTTACAAAGCACTTAGAATTACAGGATTCCAGAGCTGAAGCTTCAGAAAATAGAATGTGGAATGTCCGGGTTGAGGTGGGTGGGAATAGGACTTTAAACACAGTACATCAGAGCTGAAAGGGGCCTATGGAAACAGGATTCTTCAGTAGCATACGACTCGTGTAGTTTGTCGTTTCCCTCTCTAGCTCATTTTTTTTAAGAGATGAGGAAACTGAGGCAAGCAGGGTTAAGTGACTTACCCAGGGTCACACAGCTAATAAGTATCTGAGCCTGGATTTGAACCCAGGTCTTCCTGACTCCAGGCTCAGCGATCTATCCGCTGCACCAGCTGGCTGCCCCAAACAGGATTCTAGACTTGCGTTATTTGGTGGCGCTTTTGGAGAGTTTGACTTTACCTCAAAGGACTATGGGTAAACCAGATATTTCTACTCTAAAGAACTATGGAAAGGTGGATTCCTTTGGAGAAGCAACAAGCTATAATCAGTTTCCCTGAAAACACGCTACCTGTTTCCAGAATGCGCTCACCCCCTCCCCCCGATTTGTCTTTCAAGTTTGTACCACCCTGAATTATCCGTTGTTTCCCAGATGCATTAGTAGGACCAAAAATTGAACATTCCTTTCTCAGCTCAGCCAGAACTTGGCCAGGGGACTCATTAGTGCTCACGGTCCAGTTCTTCCCTGCGGCCGTGAGAAATAAAGAAATGGACCAAGAAAGGACCACACTGGGAGCGGCTTTAAGGACACAGGGACCTAGTGTGTAGAGCATGGGCTGAAGTCTGCAAAGTGAGATGCACAGCTAGGGGGGAGAGTTGGCTGGCCTGGACTCCCTCCCAATACTAACCCTGACAAGTAGCTCATAGGATGGTAGACCTCCAGCTGGAAGGACCCTCCCAGGCCACTGAGGCCATCCCTTTCTTTGTACAGTTGAAAGAACTGATGCCTAGTGAGGGGAAGTGACTCCCAGGGTGATGCAGAGGCAGGATTGGAACTCAGGACCCCTAACTGCAGAGCTGGTATTTGTTTCACCTACCACCCTATCTCCAGCAAGAGGTTTCCTCTTTCCTCAAATGAAGACAAGTACCAAATCACTCGAAGCCACAATGATGGGTCATAGGCTCGTGAAACATCAGAGCTGGAAGAGACCGTAGAGGTCACCTCATCTGGCCCAGTCCCCTTATTTCAGAGATCGCTACCCACACCCAAGAGGCAGCCCTAAGAAATTTTCTGAGATTTTGAGTTACCAAGGAGCTCCTAATTTTCATGGAGGGAGAGTTTCCCCAGGCCGATGAAATTACAGGGCCCCCCCATGTTTGGTAGGAATGAATATGTGGAACCTATATTGGATTTCACATCATCTTGGGGAGGGAGGTGGGGAGAGAGGGGGAGGAAATTTGCAACTCTGGGGTTTATGGGGGTAATTGTTGAAAACTGGAAGTAAATAAAGAAATAAATAAAGATTAAAAAAAAAAGAAATCATGGGCCCTCAAACAAACAGGAAAGCCCCACATTCATTCATCCATTCAAAGGGAATCTTATCTACCCTGAGCACAGAAAAATAGGTATTTTCCTCTTTGCATGGAAAAGAGAGCATGGCAGAATTAGGGGCATAATAAAACTGGAGTTGAGACCTGGATACAAATCTTAGATATGGCCGTCTACTACACATCACTTTCACTTTTTTAAACCAGAGTTTCCTTCCTTTGTATCCTCAGCCCCAAAGTCTTAGGCCTTATGGGCAGATAGGAGGCTAAGAAGAAGAGCTGCCTTGTGTATAGTCAAGTCAAGAAGCACTTATTAAGCTCCTACTGTGTGCCAGGCACTGTGCTAAGAGAAGTCAAAAAGATAGACTCTCCCCTGGAGGAACTCACCATCTAATAGGGAACACTCAGATGGAGGGCCTGGAATAGAAAGTATCTGGGCTTTAAGGTTTACAAGATGGCACATCTAGAGATAATGCTCTTACAACGTTTTGATCTTCGTTATACTTAATTTCTTTACTAGATTGCAAAACCCTTAAGGGCATAGACTACACCTTCACAATTATAGCTCACGGTTTACAGATACTTTAAGGGTGGCAAAGTCTTTACATGACCTCATGTGTTCCTCTTCAGTAACTAGTGAAGTAGATGCTACCAGAGATGGGAGATAGGGCCTGAACCTGGCATTTCTTTGGTAGAGGAACTCTCAAGTGAGGAAACACTCTCTATCAATGCAGGTTGGCATCTCTGCGACTTATAGCCGGAGCAAGGGTTAGCCTTTTTCATGTCCTGACCCCTTGGGCAGTCAGTCTGGAGAAGCCTAGGGACTTCCTTCTCAGAATAATTTTTTTAAAGGCATAAAATACATGCGTACAAAGGAAAACAATTATCTTGAAATACAGTGACCAAAATACTTTTTTTTTAAAAGTTCATGGACTCCAAGTTAAGATTCCCCGCCTATAGCACAGAGAAATGAAATGACTTGCCCAGGGTCCTACAGACTGTATGGGTCAGAGGTGGGATTTGAACTCAGATTGTTGGTACTGAGGCCAGATTCTTTAAACACTGCCCCAGGCTGCCTCTGTCAGAGAAGCAGTGCTTTCACCCTTGGCCACATAGCTTGGGAAGGGCCTTCCTGGCAGTGCCCACCAAGGTAGGCTGACTCACTGCCTAGTTAGTGGGTGGACTGAACTGCAAGTCTGTGCTTTCCCTCCCATCCTGGGTCTGGACCTCAGTACACAGTGAAGTTGTAATGAGTGATCCTGGTATTTGGAACAAGCACCATTAAATCAACTTTTTAAAGGAAAAATTCAACTGGGGCAGAGGAGGGCCAGAGGAAATCCTAGGAATGACCTTGGACCTCAGATCCCAAGGCCTTGTTGGGGAAGATACTTCAGAAGACCGCCACCCAGGGAGTAGGAGGTAATGTGAGGCTAGATTTTTCTGGGGCCACTGTGACTGGGGGAGGGGCTGGGATGAGGAGAAGCCCAACTGGTTTCAGGAAGGCTTTGAGGTCTCATTTGTGCTGGGGTAGGTTTCATGAGAGCCTCAGACTTGCATATATGTGAGACTTCTTAACTGGTTGGGTGAGAAACAATTCATTTGGACCAGTACTCTATTCCAATCAGTATTAATCAATTTGATACGATTCCACAGGGGCAGTGATGATAAGTTCTATATATTAGACCCCAGAGCTGTGAGCTGCAGATTCTAAGTTCACTTGCTTAATCGTAGGAAGCTAAGCTAGAGGCCCTCCAGCCTTTTTTCCCCTTGTTATGGTGACCAAGCCCAGTGGGAGTGGTGACTCAATGACATGGAAAGTCCTTCAATGTATTTTTGTACCTCTGGACCACCCTTGCCCAATGTGAGCAGCTGGCCATCTTATGACCACTTAGTCAGTAGAGATGCCCCATACTTTGCTCAATCCGAGACCCCCCCTGCTGACATATCATTCCTAGCTGATGCATCATTTTTTGGCCCGCAAAGCAAGATCTATCAACCAATGGGATTTTGTACTTTGAATGTTCAGGTATCAAACCTTATAAAAATAAGGCCCTAGAAGAAAGGGCATCTTGGATCATGAGGAAGATCTGAGGTCCGCTTCATTAAAGGGGACCATGGACCCTTTAATAGAGTGTCATTGACTCAGAGCTCTGCCTCAGTCTCTTTTATTGTAGGTTGGACTATTTTAATCCCCACAGTTGGGTAGGTAGCCAGCAATCTACTCCAGAAAAGGAAAGCTGCACTAGAAGAGGGTCAACCCAACCTATGGAGAGTCCAGCCCATTTCCCCACAGCTCACTGAAGGAGGCAAAGGAAAGCATAAAGTTGTCTCCATTAAAGCCAGGCTGCAGGAAGAACATGCCAGTGGTGGGTAGCAGCAGATGGACCCTGAGGCCCCGGAGAAGGCTACAGAAATAATGGAGCCATGGAAGGTGAGCCTTGTGAAAGGGAAGCTACATATGGGCTGGCAGAGATCCTTTGGCCCACATCCTTTGGCACAGTGGGCCAAAGGACCACCTAGCGAAGGAAGCATGCCTTACCACCCAGATGTAGGTTATCAACCTAACCTATCTGTTATTTCTGCCTCCTAAAGGATTGTTAATGTCTTCAGCCCCAATCACCCCACTCTAGCTAGAGCTCTGTGATTTACTATACCAAGTAACTCTTTTTTTATCTCTCTTGGAGAATTTTAATAGAATAAATTGCATTTCTAAGTTCAACAAGGAAGCAATAAATAGACCTTACCTTTTCTGGATGAAATGTGGGCACTAAGGAAAAGTCTGTGATGAGATCTGGGTTCTTCAAATAAGTCAACTTTCTTCCAGCCTTCTTATTACCAAATACTCTGCATTTCCCAGCCTCCGATAATCATAGATTTGTGAGCATAGGCTCAGAAGAAAGCCGGCAACAGGTAAACCAGAGTGTGAATCTGAATCTCAAACAGAAGTCTTCCCCTTCCCTTCCAAAAAAGCTCCCCATTCTAACATCACTGTTCTCCAAAAGGTGTTGCCACTCTTTCATTCACCCAGGCTTCAGTCCTGCCCCACACACTTCTGTCTGACCTTGGGACAGACCTGGTACCCCTGTTGCAGCAAGGGCCTCATAAGAGTTTCTTTATTCTTAAATTCAATTTTGTTTTCAGTTCTGAATTCCCTTCCTTCTTTTCCCACATCCATTGAGAGGCAAGAAAAAGAAAAACTATTACAAATATGTACACTCTCTCTCTCTCTCTCTCTCTCTCTCTCTCTCTCTCTCTCTCTCTCTCTCTCTCTCTGTGTGTGTGTATACATTAAACACACATACACACACAGTCTGAGTCTACCAGCCCTTGCTTTGGAGGTAGATAGCAGGTTTAATCATGAATCCTTTGGAACTGTGCTAGATCATTGTGTTAATCAGTTACTGTGGCTTTCATAGTTGATTACCTTCATAACATTGTTGCT